GGCTGCAGCTGTGTTAGGCAAACCTCATGGAGAGAACTTTCAAACTGCATCACATGTAGGGAAAGGTAGGAGGAACCTTTCTGCCCACAGAGTACAAAGATTTATACAGAATTGGTCAGTTCTCAACCAGGAGGTCTCAGGGCCAACCAGATAGCTCTGCAGACTAAAGTGCCTGCTTAGGTAGGTGCAGGGAATGGGGTTCAATCCCTTGCGTGCTGTACAGCACCGGCCCCACCCCGGGGGCACGCTGAGACAGCGATTGAGACTGGGCATGCTGGCATGAGCCTGTAAGGAGTGTGATCTGTGTAGTGAGACTCTGTAGATCCTCTACTAAATACATAAAAAGAAATTAATAAAAAATGGAGTTTTTGCCTCACAGTGGCACCTGTCACCTCACTGATCAGGGAGTTGATTCCATTGATGAGTCATCCTTTGTTTGCTTGAAGTATCAGGCGACTGCCTCAAACAATGTGCACTAATGTGGAGTCAATCTGCCCTAAGGAAATAAAGGCAGTCCTGATTATACACGTGTGCACAGCAGCCTTCTGCCACTTCCCCAGTAGGAAAGCAGCAGGCGTGCACACGCTGCTCAGTGTGTGCTCACTTTCATCCATGGAAGGTGCTGTCTGTGTTCCCATGCAAACGTTCCTAGTAGTTGTGTAAGGAACAGTGATGAGGGTAAGAAGAGATGCACAGCAGACCCAAGATAAAAAGGCAAAGGAAAAGTTGGAAAGGCTAATGCAAATTGCTGCTTGTAAAGTATATTTTATTTATAAATAATGGAATTTATCAATTTTATCAGAACAAGAAACCCTTTGTTTATGATCAAAAACAGTGTGATTATCCTTTTAGATTCAGGACATGCTTTATTTTATAACTGGCATTAATGTATTACCTGCAAGATTTACAATTGAGGTTTTAGTAATGAAGCTTAAGGGAAATATATAAAAGTAACAATATATCACAGATTCTTATTCCTCAAGCCCTAAAGAAGTAACCAATGAAAATATACTAATTAAAGCTTAAAAAATAAGATTATAAGAAAAAAAAGATTATAAATAAGATTATTATTATAAACATTTCCAGGGCTGACCAAAGCCATAAGATTTAGTGAGTTGTGGCTGCTTCCATTCCTGTCTACTTTATCTCCCAAGCTAATACACAAGCACTTAAACAGAAACAGAAGAATCACCAAAATCAGATGAGTCTTGCCAATTTCATCTCACTGTGGAGAAAAGTACGAGAAGTGGCATGAGATGAGCACATAGGAGATCCTGCTAAAACCTCTAAACACCTATCTTGGCAGAATCAAAAAGATAACAAATTTGCAGATGTCCATGGAGAGCCAGATTACATGCAAAGTCAGATCACATGAGGTCAATATTTAGTAAAATGAGAAAAAGAAAAGCAAGCATGGATGTCTCAAGAAGAGACTGATAACCTAAGTGCGTGCTCTTCCTCTTGCCTTTGAGAAGCCAAGATTCAGAAAGAATAGAATTCCCAGTTCCAAATGGTAGCTAAATGAGAAGAGGATTGGTGGAGTAGTCTTACCATTACTAGCAAAGGTAGAACATATGAGGCAAGTCATCCACAATAGGCGTGGACAAATAAGTTACAAAGAAGTGACACAGCAACTGCTTATGCCAGCAAACTACAAAGCAAGAAATCAAGCACCCAGAAGGTGGTCAAATAAAAGAATCTTTGGTAGAAAACTTAGATCAGAAAAGGAAGAAAATTCCTCAAATACGTTTTGGATAAAAAAGTTACTAAAATTAATATTTTATTCAGCAAAACTAATCTCAAGAAATAACATGTCTTGGGTTAGATCAGAATGAGAAAAAGCAAGCTGTAGCAGACAGAATCAGGATACTTTTGAGAAGATAAAATGTGGCCTGTGCAATAGAGAAGCCTATTGCCTCAGTGTTAATTTTCCTGATCTTGATCAATGTATTGTGGTTATGTAAGAGATGTTCTTTTTGGGGGACGTACACACACAGGTACGTAGTAGTAGTCACAGTATTTACTACATCCTCATAAAATGTTCAGAAGAGAAAGTTCCCTGAGTTAAAGTGTATAGAAGATTTTCTTGTACTTATTCTGGCATTGTGCAAATTTTCTGAAAGTTTGATAATAAAATACAAAGTTACTCAAAATTGTCCAAGAAGAAGTTAAATCAACATTTTTTAAGAAATATTTTTTTAAAATCAGAGACTATAGCCAGTTGAATGATAAAATCATTACATATATGAAACTCTTAAGATAATTACAAAAAAATCCAAAGGTAAATAAAAACTGTTTACGACAACCAAGGAAAGTATAAGCTGTTGTTTTAAGGAATGCAACCCACCAAAATGTATTTCTCAGTGAGAAAAAGTCCAATGGAACAAAGAATCCAAATATATAAAAGCAAAATGTTTTCCTGAAAATATTTTAGGATATGTGCTGGCAGAGTGAGCAAAGTTTTCCTGAAAGCAGAGAGGAATTTATTCTGTATGTAGAAATTGAAATTTACTATTTAAAAAAAAATGCTGAATTAGTCACACTGAAATTCAGTCCCTGTTTTGAATTTTAAGGATTAAGAAAATATTTTCAAACATCAAGTAGGAAAGAAACCTGTCTTATACTGAAAATTATGTAGTAGAGGGTTACCATGGCTTCAGATAATTCCACAACAAAAGTCAGAGCTAGGAAATGGTAAATCACTGTGCCCAGGGTTTAGGATGACCCACAGCTATTACTCTTAGCCCACTTGAAATTCAAATATAAAAGTAATGGGCACTTTCTAACATGAAAGATCTCAGGTAACAAAACTACCGTGAACACTACCTGCATGGAAAATCTAGTTGACAATTATATCCAACCAAACAAAATTTAAATGGAACAACTGTGAAGAAGTCAGTACCTTTCCATTGAGTGTCAGAAGATAAATATGTTCTAAATACAAAGTAAAGAAAATTGGGATAAATTATATAAAGCTAGCTAATGTGTCCATCAACCATACAGATGAAAGGCAGACTCTGTCAACAATTACACAGAAGCATCACAAGAACGAAACATTCTATAGAAACACTGAAATAAAAGGCTCAAGATAGGGCAATCATGGAGAAAATGCAATACTGAACATTACTTATGAATGTTCACACATGCACGTGCACACAAACACACAAGAAGTAAAAGAAATCTTGACAAAATGATACCTTATCACAGTGTCTTCAATATTGTCTACAGTGTTACATGGCCTAAAATATGAACAAGTGATTTCTCATATTTTCTCATATAGATTTGTTCCTGTGGAAAACTAATATGTCATTACTAATGGCCACCCTTGCTTACCATTTCTTTTCATGTTTTTCCTGATTTTTAAAGAAATAGATATAAAAATCAAAATTAACCATATAAATCGGTGAAAGGGACACTGTTTTGGTCTACAGTAGCATGATTTCGTAAATTTCAATTTGGTCGTATATTGTGATGAAAAATCATCTACAATGTATAATTTCCTTTAGCTTCATTTCAATCAGTGTTAAGTTCAGCATATCTATTTATATAAGTTTTAAAGGATCATGTAGAGGAGTATAAGTCTATTTTATAGAATTATTGCCTTTTCCAGGGCCAGTGAGATAGCTCAGTGGACTAATGCGCCTGTTTAGGCAGGCACAGGGACCAGGGTTCCATCCCCGGCATGTCACGCCTGCTCTGCCGCTGGTACAATCTAAGCTGGTGATTGAGACTGGGTGTGGTGGTACACACCTGTAATCCCAACACTTGCGAGGCTAAAAACAGGAGGATCACTAGGAATCTGATCTATGTAGTGAGACCCTGTAGACCCTGTATTAAATACACTAAGGAAACAAAATATTGCCTTTTCCTTCAATCTACTCATCATTCCAAATAGTCATTTTCTTGCTTATGTTGTAAACAGATGTTTAAAATGAAGCACACTAAAGTTAATAAAGTGTGTTTTAAGAATAATAGTAAAATTGAGGGGCTTCAAATGAAGTTGAAACATTTTTTAATTACTGGAAACATTGAGGAAACCATGAAGAGCAAAAATAAAATTGAGTTTATTTATTTATTTATTGTATTTAGTAGAGAGTCTACAGGGTTTCAGTACACAGATTAGACTCATAGTGATCCTCCTGTTTTCAGCCTCCCAAGTGTTGGGATTACAGGCACGCAGCTCCACACCCAGAATCAATCACTGTCTCAGCATTCCCCAGGCGCAGAGCCACTATGGCAAGCCAGGGGTGGAACCCCAGGCCCTGCACCTAGCTAAGCAGGCACCTTAGTCCACTGAGCTATCTGACCAGCCCAAGATCAAATTTAAAATACATAGAAATAGTGAATTGTCTAGCCTGACTCTGAGATCTGCCACTGATTTCTTTCAAAATGAAATGAATTGCTGCTGATAATAAGAGTATATCTCTTGATGTCTTGTTGTTGGACCACATCTTTCTGTATTCAAGGCTATGATCATGGTTTGGCAAAATATGCCCATTAAGATTGGTAATAAAATGCACAAGTATAATTTCTCTTCGAACTGTACTGCATAGACCTGCTGGTACACCTGGTACTTGTTAGATGTGGATAATCTCAGGCCCCAACCCACATACAGTGAGTCATAATCTGCATTTAACAACCTCCTGGGGAATCCGGGCATGTACTAAAACCCAAGAAGCATTGCTTTAGATCTACCAGCCTAATTTCCCTTCAAAGATGATGAGCATTCACTTTCATAAAGCTACAAAGATTAACCCTTCACTGGTTTGGTAGAAAGGAAAACAAGGGTTTTTGGTGGTGGTGGTGGTGGTGGTGGCAGTGGTGGTTTTGTTTGTTGTTTTTCTGCTCACTTGAATATCTTTTGTCACAGTTCTGATACGTATTATGCAGGCAATGATGGCTTAGGCTAAGAAGGGAGTGTTTATCTTTTAAAGGAAGATTATAGAGAATAAAGGAAGGGGTAGAGTTAACATTATTCACAATGAATTAAATAACATTACCTGTAAGATTTCTAAGTATATTTAATTCTTTTGCCGAATTGCCTAAGGATTGTTGATCAGCAATGTTATCTAAGAAAGGTGCATTTGGGGCAATTCTGTCAATATATTCAATTTCTGAAATTTCAGAAGCAGATCGAGGTAACGACAGAGCTTCTGTGCTTCTTGATTGAGGACGGGAGGATAAAAGGCTGCTGGAGCACACTTTAATACTGTTGGAAAGTGGTAAATTTGCTGTTGAAGGTCTCTGTGATTTCTGGCCTAAAAGGGAAGCAAAATCAAATAAACTGTGGTAAAATCGTAAGTGATCATTTAACAATGCAAAATCCCTAACTCCTGAACACAGGATAGTGGAGGTAATGCAAAAATTGTTGTGGAAAATCAATTTGTCATCTTTTCTAGCTAAAAATAATCTGTTAATCTCAAATTCCTCTGCCAATGACATGAACAATATTTTTAACTAATTTTTCCATATTTTTTTGCATTCAGAAAAAGTCCAATTAATATTAATATTCACTAAATCAAAAATCTGTTAAACAAATTAACTTCAATCAAGTTATACACGCTCTCTTGCAGGCTAACCCAAGGCCAAATGCCATGATGGTTCCTGAATTCCAAATACCAC